AATACTTAGGTCACATTTGCAAAACTCTACATACAGTGTGCACAACAGAAGTCTATGTGGGCCAAACTGAGGATCAATTATCATTGCTTTGGCACAAAATGCATTGAGTGACTACATCTCTCAAATGTCATGAAGTCCCTTCTCACTCAGACACAACAACTGCCAAAAATCATTGTACTAACAGGACATTTTGCACTTGCTTACATAATATTCACAAAACTGTAAAACTTATGTTCAAAACAATAACATACTGCAAAACTGAATACGACAGCAAAATCCAACAGCAATATGTAATTGAAACATGAATGCAGTTTAACCAGCCACAGCTGACTCCAATTGTAGATGAACAGCTGCACAGGTGTTACACTTGCAATGTCATTAGAAAAGTAGTCAACTGCTGAATAGGTTTGTGTTGTTCCTGAGTTTCATGTTAGAGTAAAAAAAAAGAGGGTGAGTGATGGATTATCAGTATACGCAGGTGAAATGCTCGCAATACTGTTAGCTGTTCAATGGGTGGAAGAAAACAGACCATTATTCTCAGTTATTTGTTCAGACTCCAGCTCATCATTAACCAATTTAAAGTGCGGCCATTCAGAAAGCAGACCAGACATACTACTAGAGATTCAGCTAACACTTTATAGAATAAGCATGATGGGACTTAAAATAATTTTTTATGGATTCCAGCTCATTGTGGAATCAGAGGTAATGAAGGAGTCGATAAGTTGGCTAAGCAAGCAACGATAAATACATCGGTTCAGTTAGATATTCACTTTTGTCAAAAAGAGATCAAGAGCATAATAAGGCAAGAAATGAAGAAGAAATGGCAAAACAATGGGAGGAGGAAAGGAGGGGAAGATGGTTGTATGACATTCAAAGAAAAGTAGGAGAAATGAGAAACACTGGAAGGAGTAGGAGAGAGGAGGTGGTCATTGCTAGACTAAGGTTTGGACATACTGGGTTAAACAATACATTATTCATGATAGGGAAACATATGCAGGGAAATGCGATTATTGTGGCGAAGACGAAACTATAGTTCATGTTATATTCCAATGTCAGAAATGTCAGGCGGAAAGAAGGACAATGGTTCACAATCTTAGATGAAAGTGAAACTGGATCTTGTTGATTTATTGAGACAGAATTCAAAAAGTGACTGTTTTCAGATTTTATTTAAGTTTTTGAAAGAGATAAGGATGTTTGGGAGACTGAGTTTTTTTCCCCCCTGTTTGGTTTTGTTTTGTGAGCGCTGTTCCAGACCACACTCCACACTAGTTGGTGGCGGTAATGCACCATTCGTTGTTTGCCAACCGCCAATAAAACACCAAAAGAAGAAGAATAATAGGTTTGTGTTGTGATGTAAACATGGACCCAGCCAGAAATGGAGAAGTGGCTGAAAGGAAGAATAGAGGAGAAGAATAGAGGCTGGGAGAGGGCGAGGAGTACGTATGCGTGGTGGCAGAAGAATAAGAGGAAGATCAAGAGCTGGAGTCTCAGATGAGATCAGAGCTACTCTAATTGATCATGTAGTAAATCATGGTCTCTCAATGAGAGAGGCTGGTCAGAGAGTGCAGCCGAATCTGCAACGCTCTACAGTGGCATCTATTGTTAGAGTTTTCTGGCAGACCAACAGGTAACTTGTATTCTGCAAGGGCATGTGACTCACTTACACATGTCAGATGTCAATAATGTTATGTGTAATTGTTTTTGCATTTCTGCTCTAGGACTCAACGGTTACCTCACACAGGAGTGAGGGGAAGGATGTTCACTGATGTGAAGGGAAACCGCCATTGTTGTTATGGCAATCAGAAACAATGGGATAAAGCTCACTGAGATCAGACACAGTATCTTGGCAGACAACGTTACCTTTGCAAATATTCAGTGTAAGCCTAACAACAATTTCCAGAGTCCTGAAGAAACATCAGGTCAGGATGAAACATTTGTACACTGTGCCTTTTGAGAGGAACTCTGAACATGTCAAGCAACTCAGGAACCAATATGTCCAGGTAAGAACGGTTCCAGTAATGAACAATACCAAACACACACAATTTGTACACATTTACTACAGTAATTTAACAGCTTATGTTGCCTTGTGGATTGTGTTCAGAGAGTCATGGAGATTGAAGGCATGCAAACACATCACATTTTCATCTATGTGGATGAGGCAGGTTTCAACTTGGCCAAAACACGGCGACGAGGGAGGAATGTGATTGGGAAGAGAGCCACAGTGAATGTCCCGGGCCAGAGGGGTTCCAACATCACGATGTGCGCAGCAATATCCACTGATAGACTGCTGTTACACAGACCAGTAGTTGGGCCATACAACACTGGACGGCTCCTTGTGTTCCTGCATGATCTCTATGGAAGGGTTGTGCTAGGTGAGGAAAGGGATGCGGACAGATGGAATCAGCCAACATATATACAGTGGGGCAAAAAAGTATTTAGTCAGCCACCGATTGTGCAAGTTCTCCCACTTAAAATGATGACAGAGGTCAGTAATTTTCATAGGTACACTTCAACTGTGAGAGACAGAATTTGAAAAAAATCCATGAATTCACATGGCAGGATTTTTAAAGAATTTATTTGTAAATTCTTTAAAAATCCTGCCATGTGAATTCATGGATTTTTTTCAAATTCTGTCTCTCACAGTTGAAGTGTACCTATGAAAATTACTGACCTCTGTCATCATTTTAAGTGGGAGAACTTGCACAATCGGTGGCTGACTAAATACTTTTTTTACCCCATTGTAATTGTATGGGACAATGTGGCATTACACCACTCCCATGCAGTCACAGAGTGGTTTGTGGCCCATCCCAGAATGGAGTCCCTTTTCCTCCCACCTTACTCTCCATTCCTCAACCCCATAGAGAAATTCTTTGCCTCGTGGCGGTGGAAGGTGTACGACCATCATCCACATGATCAAATGTCCCTTCTGGATGCAATGTACGCTGGATGCCTGGACATATCAGCAGTAGATTGCCAGGGATGGATCAGGCATGCCAGAAGATTCTTTCCTAGGTGTATTTCCCTAGATGACATAAGATGTGATGTGGATGAGAACCTGTGGCCAAATGGAGAAGACCGAGTAGATTAGCATATTGAATCTGTATCAGTGGATGTTGTGTCAACAAAGTCTTGTGTTCTGGAAGTACTTAGTGCAAAAACAACTACCATTAAAAGTAAATGAACAACATGAAATATTGACTAATTCTGCATAATGTCTGATTCATTCCAGTAACATCTATTGGAAGTATGAACAAAGATGTGTCCTTGTTTTACACAAGAAAATGTAATGCTACATGTTGTGTTTTTTAGGTCTTTGTTTTGTGGGTGACAGTGTGCTTGTCGGCTGTCAACCTTTGCTAGTGTTCTGGAGGAATGTGTTTGTTTGAGACCTGAATGAAGTGTTTTGGTGGTTGTAGTGCAGTTTGAATGTGAAATGAACTGTATTGCCAAGCTGAAACTCAGTTAGGAGAACTGTGTGAAGTGTCTAGCAAAAGTGACATTAGTATTGAGAAATGGGTCCGAACGTCTGTAAAAAAAAAAGTAATACTAGAATAAACCACAAATTAAAAAGATCCAAAAAATGGTATTACAAGTCCAGTAGCAACAAAGCCAGGTCACCATCAGTCCGCGACTTCTTTAGCCTCCTTTAACTTCCTCAAACTAGGCTGTGCTAATGTTCACTCTGGTTTTAGCTCGTAGCTTCACCTCTGAAGACCTTTATTCTCTTTTTACTTCCAGGCTCCGCCATGATGCCAACCGAAAAAGCAAACTTTTTTTTCTTCTTGTGCTTTTTATTGACGATCAGTGAAGTGAAAATGCTAACCACTAGCATCACTGCTAACAGCTGTAAAGCAGGTAAGGAGCGCCCCCTAGGACACCTCACTGCTCCCCAAAACTATCAAGTGGGGTTTTTGGCCAGCAAAGGGTGCAGAGTGGTGTCAAATATGAAAATGGTCAGGTTTATAACTCAACAATCACTGAGACCAATGTTAAAGCTCTAGGTTAGAGTTTAAAAAAACTGTTTTCTATCTTTAAGGGAAGGAACATTTTTAAATTGAATGACTTATTTTCGTGCATTTGCATTTTTGTGCAAAAACACCCATCCGATCAACTTTCTGTCCTCATGTTGGTATGATCTGTTGTAGTAACCAGCAGAAAGCTCATCCAATTGTGTCTCTCATCAAATGAAGAGTCCCTTGGCTGAGGATGAGACATGAACACTCCATTAAGGAGAGCAGTCATTTATGCTGCGTTGACAACTCAGCCTCTGCACCCATGGGATCGACCATCCCCAATATCTGCACTCAATAACAGATTCAGTTTGCTATTAATATCACAGTCTCTGTTCCCTTTTCTTTCTGATTGTCACTTTGCCAGCTCTCATATTAATTATAGCTGTTGGACATAATGACAAAAAAAACTACTCCACAGAGCATTTGAGCTGTTATTTGAGAACTTGAGAAGCGTAGGCAGTTCTAACAATAGTTGAAGTGAGATGCAGTCAGACCAAGGCTTTCTCATGAACTGGGTTATAAAAAGAAAAATGAAACCCATGGATTAAAGAGGCTTTTTAGTCCAATTATGAGGTGGGAGCTGAGGGAAGATGAAGTCACAAACTATAATCGGAAGGAAATGTGCTAAACAAATTAAAAAATAAGATCGAAAGTTTTTTTTCTGAAAGATTTATCAAGGATGGTTGTCCCAAGAATGAATCCAATACAATATAGCCAGCGGTGTGTCTCTCTCACACACACACACACACACACACACACACACACACACACACACACACACACACACACACACACACACACACACACACACACACACACACACACACACATTTCAGTTAATAAAATCAGAAATAAAAATATCTAAATTCAGTTTATAATGAATACAGCAGGGCAATTGAAGGAAATATTTACATTTGAATGAGCAACGTTTTTCACTAGCTGATGAGTAAACTAGCTCCATAATTTCATTAATTTTTTTCAGTGGTTGTCATGGTTACACCAGATCTGCTTCATTCTGAAGACAGCATTTGACGTTAAAAGCCCGTACCAGCCTGTTTCATCCGAAGGGGGTAGTTTATCAAAATATTACAAGCGTACAGGGCTCTCTGCTGGCTAAAAGGAGCAACTACAAAAAAATCATTTTAGATTTTCTTTTAGGTAAAGTTTGCTGCCGTTCAAACATGGCCGCCCTAGCATCCACCCGTAAAAATATCAGCACGGTAAGTGAGATTAAAACTCTTTTTCCAAGCTGACATGTTGAATACAACACGTGATGATTATTTTACAACTACTATGCTAAATGTTAAGCTGACAGTAGAGTTCCCATCCCATAAAATTGTGTTCTGGAATTACGTTTAACAGAATATTGCCAGGATTTCCGAGATGTCATGAAAGCAGCATTTTTCTGTCCACATTTCATGTCAGTGATTGGGCAAAATATTTAGGATCCGAGCCAATCGGAGGCAGTGGTTCGTAATCATAAACTACTTTGAAAAAGATGTAAAGTTTGACATTTAGGTGCTAACTACGGTAATTCACTTCAGAGGGGTGTTCACGAATTCCACGCGTTGCGTATACTGTATGTGTTCTGCAAGTTGTTACAATTTCATATTTATCTAAATGTTGGAAAATGTCCATGGATTCACATATTATATGACTACGATACATTATTTTGGTGAAATTAGACAGGGAATAGATTACCTAATTATTGGTTAATGAAGGGAGAAGAGTTAAATAAGCATAGGCTTCGTCCTGCTCTTTTTAAACATGCTCATATTAAAAACAGGAATTATGATAATTATTATTTATTGTTTGTCTTTTCCATGTATGTTTTCTTATTTTTGCTGTAGTCTGTTGTTTGTTTACATGTTACTACTTCAGGATGACGGAGGGTCCAGTGTCCCCGGGACCACCACATCCAGAACTGTCAGAGCAGACAGCAAGGGCGTGCCCGGGGAGAAAAGAGAGACTCAATGTGAGTTTTTGATTTGTTTTCTCATTTCTACATTTGTGGGAAAAGACTGTAAACCTGTAAAACTGCTTTATTTTTACCATGAGTGGAGGAAGAGGAGTTCCTAAAAAAACACAAAAAGAAACAATGTCCTTCTGCATCAATTTACAATAAAACAATATTTTTATTTTTTAGCAAAAATTCTTCTGAAGCAAATCAGCAGCGGTATGAAAACATTTGAAGCACAGCGGACTCATGCAAAACCAACTCTTGAGTGTAAGTTTTAGCATCCTACACAGTACAAATAGAACATGTTAATACATCTGCTTTATCATTGTTTGATTTCTTAGTGATTGAAAAACTTGATAGAATCTTGTCAGAGATGGAAAACTCAATAACCAACCTGCGGGAGGAGCTGCAGTCATGGTAACAAGATTTAACACGATCTTTGAACTGACAACTGTTTTTTTTTTGTTTGTTTTTGTTTTTTGTTACCTGGAGGGATTGCATGTATAAATATAAAGAGTCAAACTGTGTTTTTTTTTTTGTTTTTCTCAGCCTTGAAGATTGCGTGAAGGAGCAGAGGAAGCACACCGACAGCAGCAGCATCAGTGAAAACCAGAACATTTCCAAACTCGCTTCAGAGGTCTGTTTCTCCTATATTTTCTTTCTTTTTGCCTGTTTAAGTTTTTTTATCTTTCATTTTGCATTTTTTTATCTTCTGTTTCAGAAGGCCGGCCCCTCACGTAGGAACCTCCCTGCAGAGGTCATAGCTTTGGAAGTTTTCCTGCAGAACTCAGGAGGTCCATGTGGAGGCTGGGATCAGTCTGATCACCGAGTCTTCATGAAAGTGAGAGCAACACATCCGTGTCAAATATCCTTCGTAAACACTGACTTGCAGAGCGTTGCACCCATTGTTTAACCACTGCAGCTCACACGTCACTTGATTGTTGGAATTTCAGATATGGATGAAGCATCGTGGAAAATCATCCTACCGGGAGGAGGTTCTGCAGTACCTACCAGGTAAAAGGCTGAAGGAGGTCAAACAACATGAGGAGTGGCACCAAGATCTACTCAGCCTAAAGGACCAAAAGAAAGAGGTAGAAGTCTGGGAAAGCATAGGCTCAGATGAATGATTAATGATGTGCTTTTATTTTGGAAATTTACAAAACAAACAAGGCATTATGAGTCACATTTGCTATTGGGAAAAAATGTACACGTAGTTAACTAAAGTCATTTTAAGTTACAATATTAGGCTGCGTGTCCTATGCAGGCTATTCAGCGCTGGAAAGCCAACAAAGCCGAAGAACAACGTCAGAAATTAAAAGCTGCACAAAGAAGGGAGGAAGTGGCCGAACAGCGCAGGTGAGTCTGATGAGAGAATGAGTGAAAAATGAAATCAGGAAGTCCTAAAATCGCTTGATACACTCACATGGGTTTCCAGGCTTTTTCAGTTCATTACTTTAACCTTTTTCAGGATCAGAAACAACAATGTGTGGTATCAAAGACTGAAGGATTTCAGGGAAATGCTGGCAAGAGAAGAAGAGAAAATTAAACAGAAGAAAGATACAATGACACAGCTTGCTTAATTAGAGTCTCAGATTGGCACCTGATCATCCCTTTTGTCTTTTAGACTATTTCCATGAGGCATCCTCAGTCAATGTTAATGTTAGAATGTTAATGGGTGTTAATACATTTTTTAGTTGAAGAATCTTGAGCTACTTTTCAGATGACACCTCGGCTACAGGGGAGATTAAACAAGATGTGTTTGGGAAGTTTGTGAAGAAAATTCAAGACTTGTGCAACAATGTGATTTACTGTCAAGAGCACAACTGTAATTGTGTATTGTATTGGACCATTTTTTCCCCATGTGCCAAAACAAATTAACTGACGCTACTAATATTAGTCTGTACAGCACTTTGTTGTCACCCCTGTGCCTGAAAGGCGCTTTCGAAATAAAGGTTGAGTTGAACTGAGTTGAATTTGTAAAGCGAGCCAAAAACCTCCAAAATGACAAAATATATGAAATACAAAAATATTGTACATTTTATAATTTATGTATTTATTTATTTACTTTATTTAAAGTTTTAAAGATCTTTTCCCACAGAAACATGTCTTGTAAACCAAAAACAAACAAATATAAAAATATGAATTAAACAAAAAGATTTGTTTTTTTGTTTGCGATTGAGGTTTTTATTTTGAAAAGTAAGCCGACCGGAAAAGATTCCCCATAGGTGCGGAAACAAAGATGGCGGAAGAGGAGAAGCAGTTTGAAGAATTTGAGCAAATAGACTTTTTAAAAGACCGACATGTCAGATTCTTCCACAGAACGCTTCAAGTGTTACCAGAGAGGTACGCGTCGCTGGAAACAACCCGGTGAGTGAACTGGAGTGACGACTTCCGCTACGTTTCTTGTGTTTTATTAAATAACTCAACTAGCATGTGAGCTAGCTACCTCATTAGCAGCAGGTTTGAATGAAGGAACTTGCTTTAAGCATACCCCCTTCTAACCATTTGTGTGGTAAATAAAGTGTCTTACAAAAATAAAAACATTCTTAAACGTAGCTGCTTGCTAGCCCAGCTCATGTTTACTTAGCTGTATGTTTAATTCTGTTTATAGGTGTCTGAATTTGCATTCTCTTCCAGGTTATCCATCCTGTTTTTTGCCCTGTCTGGTCTCGATGTGCTGGACGCTCTTGATGTGGTTGACAGCAACATTATGATTGAGTGGATCTACTCCCTGCAGGTTTTACCCACAGAGGATAGTAAGTTGAATTTATTCTCACTGTTTTCTTTACCTTAAAAGGACAATGGATGAGCTGCAAAGAAAGTCTTGATGTGAGTGAAAATCATTGTTGCAGCTTGTTTGTAAATGTGATGCAGACGAGTTTCGCAATTTCCGCATCTTTCGGAGAAAACCAGGCTCCCACGGATTTATTCGTCATCCATTTGTATCCGTTGGATTACAAAGGCGCGCCCCTCTCTCCAGTGACACTCCAGCTCCTCCAGTGAGTTCTGGGTCTCCTCTCAGTAGAAAATGCTCTGAAATCCCACCAAGGGAGGCAACCAGGAGGGATTTGGAATAAACTGCACCATCACATCATTGCTTTTGTGGATGTGTAGTGGACCTGCTTTGATCTCCTGATTCCCTCTTCCCCAATGCTGAGTCCTGACTCTGAGATATTCTTAAGGATGTTGATGTTGACTAAATCAACTGCTTTGCTTCCTGACTTCCTCTCTGACCTCTGTTTCAGCCTCAATCTACCTGTTTCTCTCTCTTTCTTCAGCCTAGCTGCACTCTTAACTTATTTAACACAACTTTCCTCCCAAGTTTTGCTTCAAACCGTTGTCCTCAGTTAGCTTCCAAATTGTCAAACTCAAAAGTTTGCACTGATTAATGGCCTCCGAATGTCTCGGCTTCACCTGTTTCCACTTTCCAGCTGTTCATCAAAGAAAAGTTTTACACTCAGGTTTTAATGACTTGTTTGGGGATTTTTATTTATTAATTTAAGAAAAAAATAATTTATTTATTTTTTGTTTCTAACAAGCCTCTCTATACCATCTGCTTAGATGCTCGTTCAATTAATTATTGAAGACATCAACAGAAATGATGGAGGGATAGTTACGCTTGATTGGACTCTGTTTTGCCGCCGCCATATGTTTAGAGTCTGGCAGGTTTCTCGTCATTAGTGATAAAATTAGAAAACATCAACTTGAGATTCAGCTGTGGTTTCCTCCTCAACATGTTTTTGCGCCTTTTCTGAAACTATTAAGTCTTTTAGATATTTTTGTGAGTGTTGTTGAAGCCCAACAGAGTGCAGGTGTGCTAACTGAATTAATTTGCATGAATACATTTATTTAGCATGTATGAAATGTGTTTTTTTCAACAAGTATTGGCAGGAAAGTCAAGGAAAAACAGCATTTTGACACATTAACATCAGCGTGAAGTTACATTTTTATTACAGACAGTTGTGTCTCATTTATATAGATCAGTTTTATGCTGCAAAGCTGCAGAAACATGCGCACAAAACAATGGATTATATTTAATTGTATGTTTTGTTCATTGGGAATATTTTAGATGGTTTGTGGTGTTTGTCATGACCAGCAGGTGGCAGCAGAGCACCTTTTCTTTTTTTGAGCAGCTTTGCAGCATTTTACTGAAGGTCACAACAAACTGAAAGGAATCAAGACTATAAATCAAAGAAATTCCACTTTTTCCCCCCACATGTATACAAGAAATTTTCTCACTTTTCCACACTTTATCATCCCAGAATCCAACCTTAGCTGTTGTGGATTTCGGGGATCGTCACATATTGGAGTTCCTTACAGCACCAAGGTATTCTTGACCACCCAAGCAGTGAAATTATGCTATTTGTCTTATTTTTACTATTAAAACAACTTGTTTTTCTTTGTGTTTCTATCATTTCATCTTGATATTTTGCTCAGGGTCCAGGTGTTGTCCATCCGTATGACAGTGGCCACATAGCCATGACGTACACCGGACTGTGTTCGCTGCTGATCCTCGGAGATGACCTGAGTCGGGTCAACAAACAAGGCTGTCTGGCTGGTGTTAGAGCACTGCAGCTGGAGGATGGCAGGTTAGCGCGCGCGCGCACACACACACACACACACACACACACACACACACACACACACACACACACACACGTTTGCACTTACACTCCTATTTAAACTGACACTTCCACTCTGACTCACACACACCTGAAGCCATGTGAGCACAAAAGCACCAACTGGCGTTTGAGCCTCCATCTTTTTAGAGCTCAGGATGATGGTGATTTAGTTCTGAAATGTTCAACAGACATCCCAGAGGGGTGGTGTGTGATGATGTAAATGCCATCAAAAATTATTTAGGACTTTTTGAGCACATCTTCCCTCCAACCCTCTGAGTAAATATGAAAATCAGCAGGAGATGCAGTGTGCAAAAGCAGCCGCTAAGCTTAATGTGAGTGAGGATTTGTTTGTGTTGGTGAGAATTATACCTTCATTTTCTTTTTTGATGACCTTCACGGTGCTTCCCCCTCAATTATAGATGAGTTCAAATAGATCACAAAGAAACGTTACCTAAAACCCTTACTCACCATTCTGCTATAAAGAAAGAACAACTGTTCTTGTTAACCATGTTTTCTTTTTTCTAGTCTGATGCTCCAAGTCCGTAGCTTATTTTAGCTGTGAGAGTGCAGCCTCAGCAGAAATTCAGCTTAAGTCAGGGGCTTGCCACCATTATGATAAAAGAGCCATTTTTATCATCTCTTCTACTAAATAAAACAAAACAAAATATAGAGCCTCAGGTTGCAGACTCCTGGGTTAAGAAAATAACTTGTTATGGGAAAAAAATTCTGTTTTTGCGCACTACCCAGGTGATTTATTTGTTGTTTTAATTTTAATATGTCAAATAAATTCTAAGTGTGTGTGTGTGTTTTAATTTGAGGCTCACAGAACAGCAGTAAGACAGTGACATTTTACTTGGAGAATATGGGCTGCAGTAACTAAATTTGACCACAGGATGGCATTTATAATGTATTCTTACATATTGCACCTTTAAGCTTAGATACACACCCTTACATTCGCAAGTCCCAACTAGGGCGGCACAATATATCGCAAATGTATCGTCATCGCGATATTGGCATGCGATATTGGAGGTCCAGTATCCAGCCTTTTTTAGTGTTTTCTCTGATTCAACACACTAGATACACCTGTGCAACAGCTCATCAGGCTCTGCAGAAGCCTGGTATTCGCCTGCTGATTGAATGCAGGTGAGTTGAAACGGTTAAAAATAAAACCTGCTGGATACCGGACCTCCAGGCCGTAAGCAGATAGCGCCTAATTTGGATGGCTAGCAAACACCTGAGTTAGCTTCGTTAATGCCAATTTAGCTTGTCCTGGGATCTGCTGATTGACTTATCTTGTTCATTTTCTTTTTCCCTTTCCGTACATCTTTTGATCACAATTTTTGCTTTTCCCATTTTTTTTAAATATTTGTCATTTAAAAATTTAGATTTTGTTTTGTTCTTGAGTTAAATATGCTTATTAATTGCAAGTCATATTGTCATCACAATATTAATCATTGTTATCGCGCATCGCAGGTTTTCCTACTATCGTGCAGTCCTAGTCCCAACCCACTCCAGCTTCAGCAGTATATAAATGTCAGTGATGGTAATGCTAACGCCAGCCAGAGCTGCTGCTGATGCTAACCTGAGCTACTGCTGCTGATGCTAACCTGAGCTACTGCTAATGTCCTTGTTGGATGAGAAGAAAACAACAAAGAAGAATGCCGTAGCACACACGCAACAATCCAGGATGTTTGGAATATCAAGACTTTGAATGAATGCCAGAAAGATCGATAGTTTACTCGTCATCTGGATACTATACATGACTGAACACAGAGCTACTAGCTTCAGGTAGCGTTATAGAGTCATTAGGGTAAACTGGCCAATCATCACGCAACTCATTTAATATTCATGTACTGGCCAAGTGGGCGGGGCAAACCAGTCTTTCCATTGTAGGGATTGTATTTTGCCATTTATCAGGGCTCCTGGGTCATTTTGAGCCCCAACATAGTAAAAGGGGCTCAAAGAACAGTTTCTCCTGGTGAAAATTGGCTATTCTTGAGTCCCTTCAAGAAGGAACATCATTCAGTCCCTCTGGGGATGCTCAGTGTCTGAAAGTTTATGAATAAATAAAGGAGTTAATAAAACTTTAGGTGTTGGTTTGGATTTTCTTTCAGGGGGGTTGATTTGATGTGAGGACCATCTAGTTCTTAGCACAGACAATAAAATAACCATTCTCTTTCTGTGTTCTGCTTTTAGTTTCTACGCCGTGCCAGAGGGAAGTGAAAATGACATCCGGTTTATCTACTGTGCAGCTTGTATCTGTTACATGCTGGACGACTGGTCGGGCATGGACATCCAGAAGGCCATCGAGTACATCCGAGGAAGTCTGGTGGGTTCAAACGTTAAACCAGGTGATAAAAGTGTTTGTTTCAACAGAACTGATCCCTACCTATACAACCTCTCTACATCTTGCAGGTCGGAGCTAAAACAGATGAATAGGAACCATAAAACAAAAATATAGGCCACCCACTTTAAAGAGATGCCTGGAAATATTTCATTCATAATAAATGGAGCAGAATGCTTTGTGGTCCTAAAGCTGTAGCAGAAGCGTTTCACTCCAGCAGTTAAACAACAAAGCATCGCGTTCTCTACTTTATTGTTGGTGTTTGCTTTGCTGGGCGTTAGACACATCAAAGCTCTGAGTGGGAGGTTTTGTCTTCTTACACATCCCCAGAGACTTTTCACAAAGCTGAGTGTGTGTGTGTGTGTCATACCTACTATCCTATCTTAACTTTGTGCTCTGCTCGGTGTTAGTCAGACACCTAAATAATGTTAATTTAGAGTATTTATTATGCAGATTTTGTTAGTAAATGTAAAAATACATTTAGATTAAATTCTGCAACAGCACCAGGATGTCTGAGGATGTGCCTGACTTAAAATTGGCTTCACTAAGGAAAAATATCAGCCGATTGTATAAAAACTGTAAATATCAGCCTGATATATATGCCGGCCGATGAATTGGTCTACCCCATTTGACTAGGGTTCGATTCTCTGCCTCATTATTTTTCATAAAAAAAATTGCTTTAGCTTTTGTTCAGCGGTTTAAAATGTGATTAAGATTATTTATTTATTTACAAAGCCTCTAATTAGATTAATTATTTTATTCTAGTCTTACCCCTACTAATAGGAGATATGAATGTAATGCAGCAGTTGAAGCAATGAAGAAGCCCCCTAGTGGCTGGCTGCAGTACAACTAATCAAACCTTGTCCTGATTAAAAACACAAATACACCTCTGGTTGTTTTTATCAGGTGTTGATTTATGTTTATCTCCCTAGTTCTCTCCTGGCTGCTCTGTTCTTCATTCTTCAATTTCCACACTTTTATTTATTTAATAATTATGAATTAAATATAAATATTTAGTGACATCATTCATTTAATATTATTGAGTTATGTCATTATTTTAATTAATTTTACAGCATTTAATAATTGTATATATTTATTTTAAGCTTTATTTTATGATTTTATAATTATTAGAGGCTTTAAAAAAGGAAGGTGAAACTTTGAGATTGAGAAAGATGAGGATGAGGAGGGTCGTGTGTGTGTGTGTGTGTGTGTGTGTGTGTTCCTCTAAAGCTTTAGTGTGAGTTCACGTGATCTGCTCATGTTCTTGAGGGTGCGTCACTTTTATCTTTTATTTTCATACAAGTCATCATTAGTAATGAACATTTTTTTCCTTCTGCAGTCATATGACAACGCATTTGGCCAGGGAGCTGGGAGAGAGTCTCATGGTGAGTTGGTGCTTTACATCCACTCAAAATCTGTGAATCAGACATTTGGAAATGATTTAATAACTGTAATAATTTAGTATTAAAGGGTTTTTAAGCGTTTAAGTAGGTCATGGAAGGCATGAAAACGACTGCTTTCAAAGGATTAACCGTTTAAATCCCATCGCTATAGAAACACTGCATTGTTCTCTAATCGCACCCCTCATTTCACACACACACACACACACACACACACACACACACACACACACACACACACACACACACACCAAATTGAACCTTATTATTTTAACACAAAAGCCTTCACCTTACACACACACACTTGGAGCCTGTTTTTGCCCTGCTGACAGATGGACTCCTTGTTGCCATGGTTACATAAATCTGTTGCATTGTGGCAGTTTGAAGGTTCAGATTCGGATACGCTTTAGCAATCTTCTCGAGATAAATTGGGCTCCTGCGACCAGACTCTGAGGATATATTAGAGATGCTTAGTCGAGGCCCATTACCCATCTACCCTTGAGGTGTGTGTGTGTGTGTGTGTGTGTGTGTGTGTGTGTGTGTGTGTGTGTGTGTGTGTGTGTTTGTGTGTGTTCAGCCCTGAGACCTCCCACACTTGTTTTTGATGTGACACACACACTCACACGCACATACACACACTTGAGTTGTTAATTGTTTACTTGTACAGATGATTTGCTGCTGTGGCCCCCAGACAGGAACTCTCTCTCCCTGAGCCTGAGATCAGTGGACTCAGTGGTCTCCTTTAAAAAGCAGCTAAAAACTCACCTGTTCAGGCTGCCTTTGGTGTGACCTTCGTCATCACCCTCTCCTTATTCTGCTCTTTTTACCTATTCTGCCTTTCCCGGGATCCACTGATTTCCCTCTTCCTTATCGATTTTCTCATAACTTATTTTTTGATAATTTTTTGAAGATTTTTTATTTAATTTTTTTAAGAATTGTTATGTTTTTGTGAAGTGCCTCGTAGTTTTTATCTTGAGAGACGCTATAAAAAATAATTTATTTTCTTTCGTTTACTTCAGCACGAAAAACATGGAATTAAAGAAACTGGATTTTTCTGTGGTGTATGTTCAGAATGTCGGCTTTTATGGTTTTAAATTTGTTGCCTCTTTAGTGACTCTGCGCTCTTTAAGTGCTGGTTTATATGAATGACAAATGATGTAAAAAAAAAACCAAAAACTTTAAATATTGTTTAAGTCACTTTTAGGCCGCTTATTTCCCTCTTCCTGTTTATCCAGCAGATAGTAAACGAACAAGGTTTGGTTGGTTAGTAGCGGCTGCAGCTTAGTGGCAGATTTAAGCCTTTTTTACACACACACACACACACACACACACACACACACACACACACACACACACACACACACACACACACACACAGAGAGACAACCATGTAGTCCTCCCAGCCTGTTATCAGTTGGTGGAGTGTTTGTTTTTATGGCTTTAGTTTCAAGTTGCTTCGTCTCTAATCAGAAACTTTTCTCTCATCAACATCCAAACAGCCTAAAGCACATACTTCATCCCAAAAGTATCAATTTATATCCATAGGAAAGATTTAAAGTGGGGGAATTTCAGCGTGTTTGTTCTTTTCACTCACACACAACCACACGTGCACCGGTGTGTCCAGGCGGCTGGACCTTCTGCGCCATAGCCTCTCTGTGTCTGATGGGTCGACTAGAGGAGGCGCTGAGTCAGCGAGAGCTGGACAGGATCCGGCGCTGGTGCATCATGAGGCAGCAGAGCGGTTTCCACGGGCGACCCAACAAGCCTGTAGACACATGCTACTCCTTCTGGGTGGGAGCCACGCTGGAGGTAAAGCCACACACACACACACACACACACACACACACACACCATCCTGCATGCTGTAACAAGTTTTGTTTGTTCAAAGGACATTTTAGTACATTTTTACCTTTCTCACCAGGGGCATGCTGGTTATGGTTTTAGCTACTTTAGTTAAAAGAAACCGTGGGATTGACTTGGTCATCAACTTTGAGGAATTAATCTGACACACGACAGGACTATTTTTAAATAATCTCACCCTGGAGGTCACAAACACAGTCTCAACACATCCTTTTTAAAACTTCTCATAGGGATATTGGGCTAAAGTGGGATGCCTTATAGCTAGGAGTCGTGCATAACACAGTCTTGGACTGCTGATAGATTGGGATGATGTGTATAATTTCAAAATTGACAAAAAGTACTAGAAGCCCATCATTTCTCAACACAGATGATCTTAGTTTAAAACTCCAGCATCAGAGGCAGCAGACGGTTGCTTCGGTGACTCCTGGACTGGGCGTGTCTAAAGTGCAGCCCAGGGGCCGTTTGTGGCCCAGTGATTTATTTTTTCTGGCTCCCACTTGCCTTTTTATTCATTTATTTTTGAAAGAAGGGTGTACTTTTGTTTCTTCACCAGGCTGTTTGAACATTTTTAAGTTCAGATTGTTACTTATTTGTCTATTTTAGGCCCTTTTCTGTATGAATAAGAAAAAAAATCACCACAGGTCTTTTAAATGAATAATTGTGGCCTTTTTCTTGAAAGGTTTGGACACCCCGTCCTACACCATTTAATTAAATAGCACTCAGTGGACAGATTATATATTTTTATTTTCTCATGTTTGAACAGAGCATAAAAAAAATTAGACAAGATTAATTGAGTCGCAGAAATGGGTTAAAATTTCTTAAATAATGTCTTTATTGCCGAATCTTTAACATCTCCACATTTGTCTCGTTACAGCTGCTGGACGTGTTCCGGTACACCAACTTTGAGAAGAACAGGAACTTCATTCTGTCCACGCAGGACCGTCTGGTGGGCGGCTTCGCCAAGTGGCCGGACAGCCATCCAGGTAAACAGCGGGACAAGGGAAAACTCATCAAACCCAACTCCTTTGTGCTTTATGAAACATTAAAAGCCTCGGGATGGATCGCAGCTTATTGTCCGTGTGGAAGTGGCTACTCATTCTTCTGCAGCTTTAAAGAAATCTCATAAAGAAGAAAAACGCTTGCGGGTCCGAGTAGGTACGGTTCATTTACTTCCTCTGCCCGAGGAACAGTCGGTGCCTTTTCCCACCACAGGTGCAGCGAGGTCAGGGTGGAGCTGCTAGCTTTACCCTGATCAATGGAAAGACTCTTGTAACCCTACACTGCTGTGTGTGTGTGTGTGTGTGTATGTAGCCTAGTAATGTGTAATTGATGAGGCGATTGTTCAGAGACGATGCAAGGACACAGGAGACGGTCCTCCTCACATTCCCAGAACGAGACGGAGAAGATGTGTTGTAGGAAACCGAGAGGGGGAGGTAGACAAAGCCTTGTGAATGTCACCAAAGAAAAGTTTTAGAAAAGAAAAGGATGCAAAAAGACAAAAGGAGAGGTCTAAAGTGTCCAGATGAATGGGGTTTAGTCGCATTGACCTGGGACAATAGACTCCAAAGTAAAGCACAGTTATTGTCTTAAGTGGATGATACGGGATTACACAGACAAAGACGGCTAACGTTTCATATCCGAGGAGTTTATTCTCAGTAGACTATTCAGTCTTTGCTCTCAGACACACTCTCACTCATGGTTCATGGATTTGAATCATTTGTTGCCACTCTGCAATGTCGCGTTACATTTTTATGGTGATAAACAAATCAGTTTTTGTCTGATTTTGGTTTATTCTTAGCTTCAAAATCGCAGCAGCTCAGTGCCACCAACATCCATCCATCCATCCATCTAACCATTTTTGTCCGCTTATCCAGAGTCAGGTGGCGGGGGCAGCAGCCTAAGCAGCGGCCCAGACTTCTCTGTTCACAGCTACTTGGGCCAGCTCCTCTGGGGGGTCCCAAGGCATTCTCTGGCCAGCCAAGAGACAAAGTCCCCCCAGCGTGTCCCGTGCCTTTCTTTCGGTCTCCTCCCGGACGTGCCCAGAAAACCTCACCAGGGAGTCATCCTGGAGGCTCCTCTCACTGTGGAAGAGCAGCAGATCTACTCCGAGCCCCTCCCGGGTGACCAAGCTTCTCACCCTGTCTCTAAGGGAGAGCCCAGCCACCCTGTGGAAAAGACTCGTGTTGGCTTCTTGTATCCGTGATCTCATTATTGCGGTCACTACCCAAAACTCGGTCCAAAGGTGAGGGTAGGAACATAGATTGACCGGGCAGCAGTAGCTCAGGAGGTTGAGCAGGTTGTTCAGTAGTCAAAAGGTTGCAGGTTTAAAACTCTGCTCCAGACAGGGAATGCTGCTGTTGTGTCCTTGGGCAAGACACGTAACCCACCTTGCCTGCTGGTGGTGGTCGGAGGGACCGGTGGCGCCTGTGTTCGGCTGGCCTCGCTTCTGTCAGTGCGCCCCAGGACAGCTGTGGCTACATCGTAGCGCATCACCCCCAGCGTGTGAATGTGTGTGTGTGAATGGATGAATGATGCACTGTAGTGTAAAGCGCTTTGGAGTCCTCTGACTGTGAAAGGCGCTATACAAGTGAGGGTCATGGGAGTCGAGAGCTTCGCCTTCTGGCTCAGCTCTCTTCACCACGACAGATCGGTACAACACCCGCATCGCTGCAGACGCAGCACCAATCCGCCTGTCGGTCTCGCGCACGTGAACAAGACCTTGAGATACTTAAACTCCTCCACTTGAGACAGGACCTCATCTCTGACCCGAAGGCATTCTACCCTTTTCCGACTCAAGACCACGGTCTTGGATTTAGAGGAACTGATTCTCATCCCAGTGGCGCCGACAATCTGGGAAATCCCCTCGTACAACGGGCCAAAACTTCCAACGCCGGACTCGAACTGCTCTCACCCTCTACTTCAAACCTGAGCAAAGCTTATCATTTAAAGCCAGCTGATGTCTCAGATTATGTGAACCGGATTACCTTTAAACCCATGTTTATAATTCAGATTATTCCTGAAGTAAAATCCAGTTTTCTGCCTTGAAATGAGTCAAAATAAGTAAAGATCTGTTGTCACTTATGGACATAAACCTTAAAACGATGATGTCATTGCTTCCATGCACTCCTGTGCTGGTCACACACAAAGCACACTCTATTCACCAACAGTATTTTTTGAATTGAATAATCAAATTTAGCTCCAAATCAGGAAGTTTTTTCAGAGCAACCTTGAATCGGACTCTCAGTTGACGAAGCTTCTGATGTCCAATCAGCTGTCCTTTCATTATAATTGAATCAAAACTCCATTTATGGGTCTGGGCACCTTTTACTCCCCTCCCAGGGGAGACGAACAGCCTCTGCCTGTGTGCATTAGTGACATGCATGTATGCATTACAACAACACAAGGACTCCAAGATGTCGTCTACTGCCGTGCTGATGCTTCTGCCCTTTTGTCCCCGTTTGCTTCCCTCCCAAACAGACCCCCTTCACGCCTACTTGGGCCTTTGTGGTCTCTCTCTGATTGGAGAGCCCAGTCTGAGGAAAGTCCACCCAGCTCTGAACATCACCCAGAGAGCCTTTCAGCACCTCCAGCAGCTGCAGCAGACGTGGAGGGAGAGCACCAACAGCTGTGGCGGACAACACTGACGGCAGGATGATCCAACGCTAAATAGCTCCAGTAAATCACAACCAGCTGTTGGTCACCGGTCACTGAACTTTTCTGAGGTTCAAGCTGCAAGGCTCATAATCATGAGGACCTTGTTTTACGTCCATCTTAATCTACCTTTTAGTGTTGAGCAATACCTGCCATACCTCTTTGCTGCCTTTTTAATCATAAACATAGCTGTCGATCACAAATGTGGCTTGTAAGAATGCAGTGACGTGCCATTTTTGATTCCTCCATTTTTTTAGTTCCTTTTAGGATTATCTGGATTTTTTTCCCTTTAAGATGCACAAAAAAAGTTCTCACCCTGCAAAAATGTATTTTCTCCTCATTTCCCACGAGCAACTGTTGTACAGCGCTGTTACAATGCATCAAAGCTTCAAGCTGCTCACCTGCTGCATCCTCTAGTTTCATTTTCTAAGGAACGAGAAGTTCAAATAATGGATGAAATTCACTAAAAAGGAGGCTAAAGCTACCTCAGGAAGCAAATTTCTTTATAAAAAAAAAGTTTTTTAAAGCTTATCTAATGACCTGATTTCAGATCACAACCAAATATTTTCTTTGCATTTTAGATTGTATGAAAAAAAAAAAACGCATTCCCCCTTTAAAAGCAGCAGTGTTTAGCGAGCCTTGAGCTGAACTACGCTCATTCACGTTTAATTCTATATATGTGTTTTACTCCCAGCTGCAACGCAATAGGAGACGGATCAGACAATAAGCATCCTGACTGGAAGAAACGGGCTTTGATCTGTTCTGGGAAATTTCTGTTTAGAAAGGATGCGAAGCAGAACAATGAGCTCGGGTGTGTGACGGGTCGTCTGCGAACAGAAACATCTATTTTTCCGCAGGTTTAACCGTTTATTTAGCGGGTTTGAGCCGAAATGAAAGTTTCTGATTTTTAACGAGACCCTCGGAGAGCCGAAGCATTTGCCTTTTACAGCTGCCACCAGAGCTTGTGATGGGGAAAGGCTTTCAAAGCAGGCTGGAAAAACCGTCGTCTGTCTGCTGCACCTTTCCTGCAGGGCTTAAAACACCTGACTTTGCCTCTCTCGTCCTGCCAGACTATGATTATTTTATTTATTTAGAAGCACAGATGTAAGGAGAGAGTATGGGAGGAGAGGAGAATAAATAAATAATTTGAGCCATCTATTATTAAAAGTAAACTGTCGGAGACTATACCCGCTTCTCTAAACCCAGATCGCTGTTTTAAACCCATTTTTTGTTTTTTTTGTTCTGTTCTTTCTTGGCCTGAAACAAACACTTGAGAGTGTTTGATCTCGTCTTAAAGACTGTTATTCTAGAATCCTGCTGTAAACCCCTTCAGTAACTTTATATTCCATATTTTTCACATGTTAATGCAAAATGTGCTTTTTGACTATTATTTAATATGTGATATATTTCAGTATTTTCTTGGTGTTAATCAAGGTTCTGGAGATGAAAACACGCTGAATGACGAATGTTTTTGCTTCAGCACCATGTTAGTTAAGATGATATGAATGAATCTCATCTGTGTCTTTCTTAAAATAACCCCATTTTATTGCTTTCGTCTGTTTGTGTATATAGACCAAGTCACACGTCATGATATTGTTGCCTTCATAATGTGCCTGATCTAGTTTTATTTTATTTTTATTGGCTCAATGCTGCTCAAGTGCTTCTTTTTACACATCCACACACAGTTTACTTTAATGTTTGATCAACATTTTGGTCTAAACAGACAAGCTTGTTTAAATAATTGGACTTTCATTGGCTGGTAGACGTTGTTGGGCGTGTTTTTATATTTTCTGGATAGAAAAAAAAATTCACAAAGCTGTTTCCTTTTTGTTATAAATTTTTTTTTCGGTTGCATCACTCTGCAGACCTGCTCCGTCCCACAGCACGAGACGGGTTTGCACTTCGTAAACAGCTGCAGCGACAAAGCTGTGAATGGATTCTGAACCACAGCCAAAAATACCGCACCAATCATGAAACCCTCGCTCTGATGTGAGGTACCACCACATGTAGTTACGACGGAACGTTAAATGTGATTGGGCTTCTGTGCTCTAGGCATGTTCAGTGTAAAAAGTTGTAAATGTCTATAAATACGTGACTTTTGTTGTACAAGTGCTCAAGAACAAAATGTTTTCCATCAGTCAGAAATGGACAAGCAGATGTTGGTGAATTCTTGGAGTTCGTTGCTGAATCTGGACACATTAATGTTGATTCAAGCTTGGCGGCAAACTGTAATTATGGTAAATAAAATTACTAACTTTTATGGCTGTTTTGTTTTCTGTAGACTTGTTTGATATTAGGGGTGTTTTGGCAAGAATCTGGTGATACGATACACATCACAATACAAGTTGGGTGATACTGTATATCTATACTAAAAGCCAGATGATATTTTTAAAGTAGGCGTGCGCTTTGTAAATATAATTCTGCTGTGGTAAGTTGAAAGAGCGGGGAAAACGCCTGGAATTTACTCGATTTTTAACTAAATGTACGCATGTGTAAAATGGCTGCTTTGCGTAATTTGAGTTGATTTGAAGCGTTTGCTCATGTCCCCCGAAATTAACGCAACATGTACGCATGCGTTGATCTATGAATAATCGGTAGGTGGAGTTGACAAAATGAGCGGGACACTCACCATGATCACTCCTCCTCTGGTTCAGAGGTCCTTCATACGATACTGCCGCTGTCTTTATGTCGTGATCTCAAAATTAACCAGTTATCAATCTCTGCTATTGACACCGTGTTTGTTTTTTGGTTATACCCCACAAACCAGAGACACTATCTGGTCTGAGTTCACTACTGTGGCCCCTAGTGGAACACTCCAGTACTACGTGCAGTTCAGTAGCACAGCCTGCCGCCTGTTTCAGTGGGAGGTTAAAAATCAAGTACAGGTGCTGGCCAGTAAATTAGAATATCATCAAAAGGTTGAAAATATTTCAGTAATTCCATTCAAAACGTGAAACTTGTACATTATATTCATGCAATGCACACAGACCAATGTATTTCCGATGTTTATTACGTTTAATTTTGATATTTATAGGTGACAACCAATGAAAACATCAAATCTGGTATCTCAGAAAATTAGAATATTCTAAAGGCCAATGAAAAAATGTTTGTTTCTCTAATGTTGGCCAACTGAAAAGAATGAACATGAAAAGAATGTGCATGTATAGCACTCAATACTTAGTCGGGGCTCCTTTTGCCTCAATAACTGCAGTAATGCGGCGTGGCATGGACTCGATCAGTCTGTGGCACTGCTCAGGTGTTATGAGAGCCCAGGTTGCTCTGATAGTCGTCTTCAGCTCCTCTGCATTGTTGGGTCTAGCGTATTGCATCCTCCGCTTCACAATACCCCATAGATTTTCAATGGGGTTAAGGTCAGGCGAGTTTGCTGGCCAATCAAGGACAGGGATACCATGGTCCTTGAACCAGGTGCTGGTGGTTTTGGCACTGTGTGCAGGTGCCAAGTCCTGTTGAAAGGTGAAGTCTGCATCCCCATAAAGTTGGTCAGCAGCAGGAAGCATGAAGTGCTCTAAAAATTCCTGGTAGATGGCTGCATTGACCCTGGACCTCAGGAAACAGAGTGGGCCAACACCGGCAGATGACATGGCACCCCACACCATCACTGACGGTGGAAACTTTACACTGGACCTCATGCAACGTGGATTCTGTGCTTCTCCGCTCTTCCTCCAGACTCTGGGTCCTTGATTTCCAAAGGAAATGCAGAACTTGCTTTCATCAGAAAACATAACTTTGGACCACTCAGCATCAGTCCAGTCCTTTTTGTCCTTGGCCCAGGCGAGACGCTTCTTGCGCTGTTTCATGTTCAAGAGTGGCTTGACACACGGAATGCGACACCTGAATCCCATGTCTTTCATGAGTCTCCTCGTGGTGGTTCTTGAAGCGCTGACTCCAGCTGCAGTCCACTCTTTGTGGATCTCCCCCACATTTTTGAATGGGTTTGTCGTCACAATTCTCTGCAGGGTGCGGTTATCCCTAGAGCTTGTACACTTTTTTCTACCACATTTTTTCCGTCCCTTCGCCTGTCTGTTAATGTGCTTGGACACAGAGCTCTGCGAACAGCCAGCTTCTTTAGCAATCACCTTTTGTGTCTTGCCCTCCTTGTGCAAGGTGTCAATGATTGTCTTTTGGACAGCTGTTAAGTCAGAAGTCTTCCCCATGATTGTGGTGCCTTCAAAACAAGACTGAGGGACCTTTTAAAGGCCTTTGCAGGTGTTTTGAGTAAATCAGCTGATTAGAGTGGCAGCAGGTGTCTTCTATATTCAGCCTTTTCAGAATATTCTAATTTTTTGAGATACCAAATTTGGAGTTTTCATTAGTTGTCACTTATGAATATCAAATTTAAATGTAATGAACATTGGAAATACATTGGTCTGTGTGCATTGCATGAATATAATGTACAAGTTTCACGTTTTGAATGGAATTACTGAAATATTTTCAACCTTTTGATGATATTCTAATTTACTGGCCAGCACCTGTATATTCCAGGCCTTACTCATCAATATTCAAATATCTCTGTTTGGCTAACAACAATGCAACTCTTCTGTTGCCTTTATTTGCTTTTCTTTTGGGGAAAAAACAAAACAAAACAATGTGTTTCCAAAACTAAACTATAGTCTGAACGAGTTCGCAATCTTGTGGAATTGCTAATGCTAATGGTTAGCTTCTGCTAGCAAAGACCTACTCTGCTCTCTCCTGGATGGTAAATCAACTCAGCTTTCTGTGGTCTCGAGCCAAGACGGGTTACTCCATGAATGCTAACTTTAGTGGGCAGTATAAGGTACACCTGTGCACTACTCATGTCGGATCAGCATCTTGATGTGGCACACCTGTGAGGTGGGATGGATTATCTCAACAAAGCAGAAGTGCTCACTGTCACACATTTAGACTCATTTGTGAACAATGTTTGAGAGAAATGGTAATATTGTGTATCTGGAATGAATTTTAGGTCTTTAAGTCCAACTCATGAAAAATCGGAGCAGAAACAAAGGTGTTGAGTTTATGTTTTTGTTGAGTGTAGATACACCCTTCTGCCCTTAATGCACATTTAAAATCCCTCCCACCCTGTTGGTCCATGTCTGTCTCCATCCTTATGTCACTTATGTCTCGGAACATCCTCCTTGCTCACTAAATGTCATGGATTGAAGATGTCAACAGAACCACATAATCTTAGAAAGGGCAAATGTGTCAAAAGTGATCCCAACTGGTGAAAAACAATGTTGGGAATGAATTGTAGATTCATCTTTGACGCAAACTCTGCAGTTTTCCCTCTGCAATTAGTATTCATTTAAAACAAGGGCATCTAAATGTGACATGAATCTTTTGAGAACTCCGGTTTTCTAAAATGACAGACGGAGCGTGTGGTTTGGTGACTCCTGTCTCCATTTTTAAACACAAGGATGTAATTGGTTGCGAGTTTTCCTAATTTGCTTCGTTTTCCTGCAACGTTGAAGCGTTGTGCTCTTTCCTTACTAGGTCAGTGACTAAGACCTAATTAAAAGCTGTGGAGGAGGGGAAATTTAACCCATCACACATGGAAGCACACATGCAGTTTATTCCCACCTGGGAGCCGCACAGCACAGCCACTGACTCCACTGTTGGCACTGACACGGTAATCTGAGCCAGGCTCAAGTGGCATGCTGAGCGAGTCGAGGTCATGACAGAATATAAACACAGAATCAGACGTGTTGTTTTTGTGTTTAAAAAGTAATTTACAGAAGGAAACTTGAGGAAAAAAGGGCAATATTTCATTAGACTCAAAATGTGCTTTCATTTTTGTAGAGCAATTCAAAAACATATATTTTTCTTCTATAAAAACTGGATTTTATGTTAAAATAATTCTGATTAAATCTGTTTTTATATTTCAAATTGTAACCGGATTACAGGATACAATAAGATAATTAAAAGAAAAAATAAACAAATGGGCCAATAATTAGGTTCGGGGAGAATTGGAGGTTGTTTAAGAATGACTGGAGTCACGGGTATAGCATGAAACGGTTTATATACTAAATTTTAATAATAATGGGAAATATAACACATAAAGATAACACACAAAAACAGATGAAAACAATCGACAATAGTAAAATGGTCGGTATGAGATTTGATCATATGAGTCACAAGTCAGCCGGCGTCAAGTCCAATCCCCACGCTTGGGGTGAAAGTCAGAGTCCGGTGGTGCGATTTTTTCCTACCACACCGTTGAGATTGTTCACAGAAGAGAGCAGTCTGCTCTTCAGTTACTTGAGATGTCCTGGTTCGTTCAGTGGTTAAGGCTCGCCATCTCCCTCGTCAGGAAGAAATCCAGTTCTCGTTCCAAGTGAGTGATCATAGGAGTCGGGATCAAACCCAAGGGAAAAAAAAAAAAAACCAGCCAACGCGCTCCAACGGTTCCCTCCTACAGAGGATTGGTTCACTCTGTCGTCTCCACACAAATCGCGTTGGTTCCAAGTTCCTAGCTCTTATTAGAAGGAGTCAAGTCCGCCTCTCCCTCTATCTATGCGGCACCCAAATCAGGGTTCTTCACGGCCTCGACCGTTGTTTTTTTCTCTCTCTCTCTCTCTCTCTCTCTAACCGCTCAGTCTTTGCTTTCTGTATCTGCGTGCTGCACAGCCGTTTCTCTCTCCTCTCGCTCAGCTGCGTCGCACGGTTTTATTTCGCGGAGGCGGGACTTATTTCTCTCAGCCAATGAAATTTCAGATTCCCACCTGGACCAATAGTATACAGCTTTCCTCTTCTGTTTCTGTTAGGGATGTTCAAGATTCTTGTTTTAACCGATGTTTAATATTAAACTCGTTATTTTAGTTATTCACCCTTCCAATAATTCATTATGAAATTATCTATTAGTTAATTAGATATCTATTAATTAGTATTGTTAATTTCCTTAATTTATATTTTATATTTTATCTAAATTGAGGATGGATCATATTAGTAAGCCAATTAGTTAATACCTCATTAAGGTTCTAGCTTCTGGGTTACATCCTCCCCCATTAAATATCATGCACGTCCCTGTGCATTGTTTCTACGGGGTACACAACTTCTTGAGTAAGAGAGTCAATAAAAGCTTTGTTAAGTCCTTGGAAAAGGGACCTAACTACGGTCACTAGTGGATTGCCCAATTGAGAGTAAGTTAGTCTTTGAGGAGGCTGACTACTTCGTTCAGATCTCCTGACATACATCTCTGGTTGCACAGTATCATGCTCATCCGTTTCGGTTTGATTCTCAACTGAGACAGGACGAAGTGAGCTC